CAACAGGGAAACGGATAATACAACATCGATCACTAAACGGTGAGCGACACCTGAAAATCTCACCGAACAATACTAAAACGGTTAGTCAGTTAATTAGAAACAACGTAGAACTTCGCACTTACTTAGGTAAGTCAGTTCAAGTTGCCACATCGCATTAGCACAGAGGTGCAATTTTCAATCTAAATCCCATAGTGGTAGATGTAGTAGAAGTATTAGCGGGAATAGATGAGATAAGGGTTCGAAGATATTATTCAAGATGTATAATTCAGTTAGATAAATTTGAGAAGAGAAAGATGAAAGTTATGAAGACGTTTGAAGATTAGGACTTAAGAAAACACAAACAATGGATGCATCCGCTCAATTGAAAACGATTTTTAGCCATCGAATAAACATTAAATCGGAGATAAGTAGGACCTCGACTCGGTGAAAGTATTAACGAATGTGCAATCATGACTGAAGATTAATTTTGATAGTTATTGATGCGAAATGTGTATTATGTTCAAACTGTTCAAGCTTTACACAGGATCTTCTGCTAAATCAATATTCAGATAGTAAGGAAATCCGATACTGAGAATATTTACATCCTAACTATAATTACCAACCAAATGTTGGTCTCAAGATACAAGTCAATGACGATAAACTGATATGTACGAAGATATTTCTGAGTGCCCTTTACTTTATCGATATACCCATGAAAGAAACTGCAAAATGATCATAGATAAAAAGACATTAGGTATACATTTAATCTGCAAAGTGTATCAATTATCTTTACATGTATCTGAAAGTAATTTCACATATATATAGAGAGAGTAGAGTAGTAAAATTTACAATAAGTATAAAATAACAGAATCAAATATAATCTTTAACATAAATATTCCTAAAAAGGGTTAATTCTCAAGAAGAAAAAAACCGGACTACACAAAGCCTGAGTAGTTTATAAAACTCTATCAATAATTCTAGCATTTTTATCGAAGATACTTCATAAACTGCCAGTGAAAATAGAAAAATCTTCCTAGTTAACCAAATAGCCACGACAATTTTTACTTCGACATAAACATTTCATACGAGGACCCTAAAAATAGAAAATCGAAAACGGTCATGTATACAATGTGAATACAAAGAGTAGTGAGTTTAATGAATACAAATCAACTTACAACTCTATATATGAATGAATAGGGAAGATTGTAAATGAAGAAATTTAGACCAGTAAACTAGATGATAATAGTTTATGGTCAGTCAGTTACTCAAGGTAATAAATTCTGATGCCAGTTTGCCATAAACTCTGATTCGACTAGGAGTCAATCCGTCAGTTACAACGCAGAACTTCGTACATACGTACATCAGTTCAGGTTGCCATACCACATTAGCACAGAGACGCATTTGTCAGTTCAAACCCCCCACAGTGGTAGAGATAGTAGGAGCATTAGTAGTAATGGAGAAGATTAGCATTCGAAGATATTATTCAACAATTATAATTCAGTGAGATAACTTTAGAAAGAGAAAGATAAAAGTGATAAGCAATTCACAAGATTACAATTTGACAGAACACAGTGAATGAATGTACCGGAGCCACTGCAAACGATTTTAAGCCATGTCGTTCAAAATGTCTAACCATCGATTGCTAACGTCTCATGGACGCCAACCAGGTAGTCTACACCTATCAACATGGCTCAGTCCAGTTGTCAGTGACTTCATGGATTTCTGTCGTGTTTCGGATTAAACGGCAGCTTATGATAAACAATATCCGAGAGTCTAGTCAACTCAAAATTAGGCGAACAGATTAGACAATTACATGATATACATCAATAGACTATAAATTGGTTGTTTAAGCTCCTTATTTACTTCAATGTTTATCCTGTCTGATAATAACAACCTGTTGTATACATGATATAAGAATAGTTAATCAACCGAAATCAACTAAAATCTCCATCAGTTTTGAGAAATTATTCATTTAACAACCAAACATTCGATGGTATATCAATTAATCAAGACAGTGGAACGTTCACTCATCGAAAATATGATTTTATTTGGGGAAAAACATTTATAACCTGAGCAATCTCTTCAACTTAATCAGTTTGAACAAGCTTACTGTTATGTAATGCAATCATCACCGGATAATCAAGCTAGTGAGATAAACACCTGATAATAAAATGTCAATCTTAATCAGCTAAACAACTATTCTTGCCATTGATAAATAATCATAAAGAATGTAGATGTAATTTGTTACTCTTTAACAATGAACATTGATCAATTTAAAACTCTTGATTAACATATCATTGATTCAAAGTTCAAGGTTGAATTAGCTAGTGAATTTGTGTTATTATGATCTAGTGTAATCAACGAGTTCATGAGTGATACTGAATTAGATCAGTTTTACGAATAATACCTTCTACAGCTAACAGACCTCTAATTAATGAACTAGAACTTCACCGTAACTGATTTATCAGCTTTCTTAGATTTCATACGCATAAGTAATTTTCACAACGAACTACTGAACATAAAAATGACACATCACAGGTGGATAGATAGTCCACAAATACATTTTAAACTTTGTTTGAATGAAAAGAAAGCGAATTAGACCATCAAAGATCACAAATTGACATTTGCTAACAAACGAACAATTTGTAAACAATAATGTTCTCTATACTGCAAGGAAGAAATGTCAACTGCATTGTTTTAGACTAAAAAATCATCCTTTTATTAGATCTCTCCATACAGTTTGATTGGATACTCATAAATTCTAGTTTGTTCAATGTTTCAATGCCAGCAAAGACTGTATCTGTGAGCACAACAATCTAATTTGAGTGTAGGAATAAGGAAAGAATAAGTTATAAGAATCAATTAAAATTGAGACAGATGGCGATTCGGTCACATCAGCAGAATAGGTAAATGAAAAGTTTGCTGTAACCAGTAGTCAATGCGGCCCAAGTTTACATAATGAAGGGAAATGATAGTACAGAACGTTAATCCTTTATCGAAACTATAAATTTAATGTTTTTGTAGTTGAAGGTGCCCATATCATCGCGTTGAAATTAACACATGGAGACCTTCGATGCATAGCTAAAAGTCACAACCACTGAGATGGTGGAGAAGATTTGTAGCTCAGGTGGATGATTGTGGTGATGGTGTTTGGTTCTCTGAGCTGGATGTTTTGTTTGTGGAGCTTTCATTGTTCTTCTGAACAACATCATCAGCATAAACTTCAGATAGAAGTGAAGCATTCGAATTTCTCCAAGCTACAGGTCAAACGTGGAGAAATTCAAATACTTCATTTCTATCAGAAGTTTGTGCGCATGATGTTGTTCAGAAGAACAATGAAAGCTCCACAACCAAAACAACCAGCTCAGAGAACCGAACACCACCACCACAGTGACAACCACTTTCTGATGTCTAATATTTCAGTCATGAAAGGTTATTTGCATAGTCATTTCTGAATCATATTTACTTTTGGGACTTTTGGGGGATCGATTTCAGCTAGTAATCAACAAGTTTTACAACACTGACAAAATTGTTGACAAGAAGCATCTTATTTTTTAAAATAAGAGACGTCACGCTAAAGATATGGAAGAGTTGAAAGTTCATTGAAACTCAGACTGGGGAAAAACTCATTTAGAGCATTCGGTGATATAATTGCAAATCAGCATTTCATGCATTTCTACGGATATAGGTCTCACAATTAGTTGACTCAACAAATCAACAAACACAATCAGACAGTGATACTATGTGATAACTAGTGATTTCACTAAACTACTTATTCTGAAGTAGGTAGGATAAACCTTGAATTTTTGAACTAGTGATTAAAACTCATGATTTCACCGCTAAATCATATTTTCCACTTAAGTTGTTAGTACCCGTATACGTGTTTAAACCACAAGATGTGTTTTTCTGGTTGATGAGATCCTGGACACTGCACATTTTATCCGAAAACCAGTAAAACACACAAGTTAACAAAGCAATCAGACACTATTTTCTCGACAAACAAACCGTATATTTTATGCAGTATTCCAGATAAATCGGAAAAAGATAAAAAAATTCACATTTTGGAATCACGATATACCCTCTACATAACATTTTGAACAATCCCTTAAATTAGTAAATATGCCCGACAGTTTCATGTATCATACACAAAAAAAGTTTGTTGTTCAAGTGTCAATACAATAATGAACTGTGTACTCGTACATCTTAGTTCATTCAATGTTTCAATATTCAAATACAGTTGATAGAACTCGATGGTCAACCACAGTTAAACACCTTGTATTTTAGATGCACCTGTTATGTGAACGTCTAAAAGTATTTCTTAGTTTTCAAGACCATGTCCAGTTAACTGTAGTGATCCATTTGAACACAAGTCATATACTCATTTAGACTACAGTTAATCCTGAACACAAAGAATCCTACTTTTGCAGGCGAATCGAGTGTTTACTACTTCAAAACAACATTACAAAGTAAAGGATTCACAACTTAAAACAAAAGAAAAATACTAAACTTATTTAAAAAGTATTTGAGAGTGCAATCGGTTCTCTGCTATACTCTAAATATGAGAGTTTGTGATACTATTAGATTGCCTAAAAACTGAAATAGGTAGAAAACAGCGTTAGAACCTACAGCCCAAAGTGAAATCTATTAACTACCACTAAGCCATTGTTCTACAGTAGAAAAAAAATAACAAATAGGAGACTAGATCAGTGAGTTTTGTCATGATAATGATAATAAGTGGCAAATATTACCATCTCTGGTAGTTTACATTCATATAGTGTTTTTTTTTTATTTACACACTGATTCTAAAATCAACTATTCGAATAACCATCTTAATCATCAGAATGTTGACAGAAAGTATGCTATATAACTCATTAAAGTGACATTTTTTAAGCTGAAAAAGAAGTACGCAGCAAAATAATCAACAGTGAATTTATTTCAATAATTCATGACAAATGTTTGTATTGTCAGTACACAAAGAAGAGAATCAATGAAAGCTTTCAACGAATTGTGAACACCATGGGCCGAGGAGCATGAAAAACGTTTGAAAATCTTACTTTTCACATTATGAAGGGGATGGAACAGGGTTGTAAAACTCAAAAGACATGGAAATCGCTAGCGTACAGTACACCACGAACGCGTTGAACATGAACTTCCATTGAACTCTGTCTAGCCCCGGGCTGTATACTGACTGTCTATAGTACTTAAGTGTTCGCTATAAGTTGCAAAAATTACTAAGTTAAATGCCAGACAGTTATGGATAGCAAATCAATAGGTGAAGTATTGAAACTTTATCAGTTGAGGTGGTTGGGACATGTGTTACCAGTGCCCGACCACCGACTGCCTCGACGATGTTTTGTGGTGCAGGAGTAGATTGGAAGAAAACTAGGGGTGGCCAAACCAAAACATGGCAGAAATCCATGAAGTCACTGACAAGTGGACTGAGTCATGTTGATAGATGTAGGTAACCTGGTTGGCGTCCGCGAGACGTAAGTCACCAACCGTTAGAGACCTTGAACGACAAGGCTCAAAATCATTTACAATGGAGGAGTTGCATTCATTCATTGTGTTCTCCCGAATTCTAACCTCCTGAATTCCTCATAATCTCTATCTTTCTCTTTCTAAAGTTATCTCACTGGATTATACTTCTCCAACCATATCTTCGCTTTATAATATTCGCCATTACTGCTAATACTTCTACTGTCTCCATCACTATTGGATTTGAACTGACAATTGCGTCTCTGTGCTAATGCGGTCTGGCAACCTGAACTGATGCACGTACGTACGAAGGTTCGCGTTGTATCTGCCTGTCTGGCTATCTGTCTCTGTCAGACAGTTTGTATCATAATTTTTACCCACTTCACACATTCAAATAAAAGATAATTATGTTTTATGTGAATACAACGAGTAGAGAAATGTTCAAAAAACATTTGTCATATTAAAAGTAGTGGAAATAATGGAACGAATTATCAAGTACATTCAATGGTCGTGTATTGATCCCGTGTTCCTGATATTATGAATAACAGAATTCATACATAATACAATGATACTTCCATTTATTTGTTGAATTAATAAAAGAATTCTGTAGATATCAATTATTGATAAAATATAGGCGACCTGTTAAACAAAAAAACTAACATAAATAAAAAAAAATATTTTATATTGAATGATGAATCATTTGAAAATTCATTAAAACAAAATTAAGCTTACTTTAGATCCTAGTGATTTACTATCGAACGATACCTGAAATCGGTAAACAAAGTGAAAGTATTTAGAATTGATAATTTGACAGTGAAATGAAATGTAACCTAAACCTAAATGGTCTATTCGAGTAATGATTTGGGACATGTGTTGCGTATGCCTAACCACCGACTGCCTTGTCGAGTTATGTTCTGCGGTGTAGGATTAGGTTGGACGAAAGCTAGGGGCGGTTAAACTAAAACATGGCAGAAATCCATGAAATCACTGACAAGTGGACTAAGTCACGTTGGCAGATGCAGGCTACCTGGTTGGGGTCCGCGAGACAAAAGTCACCGATGGTTAGAGACACTGAATGACATAGCTGAAAACCGTTTGCAATGGCGCAGGTGCATACATTATTTGTGTTCTCTCACATCCTAACCTTATGAATTCCTCATCACCTTTATCTTTTTAGGTTTATTTCACTAGATTCTACTTCTAGATTCATATCCTCGAACCCTAATCTCTCCTCCTACTGCTAATACTTTTACTACCTCTACTACCAGAGGTATTTGTACTGACAATTACATCTCTGTGCTAATGTGGTATGGCAACTTGAACTGATGTACATACGTACGAAGTGCCACGTTGCTATGCATCGTATCGCATGTCGCACAAGTTAGTAGATATATGGACTTCATACGTCAGTGGAGAACTTAGTGGGAGTGAAAAGCGAAAACTGATGAGTTCGAGTTTCATTTTGAACATTAATAATAGAATTGAAGGTACATTCATTCAACTAATCTAGTAAAAGATGAGAAACATGTTCTACTGGGTTCCATTGATAAGCATTATTCGACTTCATTAAAAACTTGTGAATAAATAACAATACCGAGACAATTTGTTCAGAATGCATATATTCCAAAAATAGACTGGTCAATTATAGTTCTTAATATCAACAAACGAGAAAATACAAACTCTTACAACTAATAGCTGGCAATCGTTTCAAATGTAATAATGAAATAAATAGGGAGTGAGATTTCAAGAGAGGATCAAGCTGATCCTATAAATCTGTAGCATTATTCAGTATAACAGCAGAAATATGATTAACAAGAAAAGTGAAGTATATAATAAATTCATGTTCAATTGAATATTGGCTAATAATTTAAAACCCTGATTCAGTATTACGGAATGCGTTGCAGGGCACTGAATATTCCACTAGTGACTAAATTCGTAAGGGAATTCTTGGAGTTCTGCTGAAAAGTCGTGATCAGTGTAGTTCAACCTTGTTGGGTGTTGGCAGTTACCTACCTAAGACAATGAGTGAAGTTGTGCAAAATCCTTAGAATGATCAAACTTTCAGATTAACAACATCGGATGCCAGCCGTCTCAGTGGTTCAGAGGTAAAATGTTCGCGCGCGAGGGCAGTGGATACACACTACTGATGAGTCCCATACTGGGACGGAACGGCCGTCCAGTGACTGCAGGTTTCTAATGGTAGTCTAACATTGATTGGTCCATGATTGTAGTGAAACTCAGTCCCTATAACCCTATACTGAAAATCCTAGATAGTACCAACTTACTGAGATATAAGTGACTTGAATTAGAATTCTAAACTCTTGTATGACATGACCCACTATCAGCATAGAATATTTTAACCTAGTAGCATTGAAAAGTTCACTGATCCTGGTGACGGACCTTTACTTGTAATATGTAATAGGGGAAATATCAATGGGCTGAATTTGTGAGACTTAATCTAAACCTAATATATATATATTGTATATATGTATACAGATTTCCACGTAGGGTTGAAATGTGAACTGTATGTATGTACTTGTCTTAATTGAATCTATTTGTGGGCAGAAGTTATAATAAGATTTCTATCACATTAAAAATAATTAAACTTGAGTGATGTGTAGGTGTGACTCATAAGCCTCTAATTGGTCAACTTTTTCATGATTCATTCATGAACTGTATAATCAGGCCGTAAATTAGCCCTTTTAAATTACACAACCGCATGACTCATTCATAGGCAGCTTATAACAATCATACACAAAAGGGTGAGTGGTAAACCAGGTAGCCAATCAAATCACAAAGTTTGAAAGTGATTGTGATTGGTTGAAAGTATGGGTTTCGAATTCACTTAAAAATTATTGAAATATGAGTTTCACGATACAAACAAGTGATTATCAAATATGCGATGATTTAATGAAAAAACTACAATGGTACTGTCATATTATCCATGAGATGGTCGAAAGACACAGACAGCAGTATATACTATACCATATATCGAGTGACAACGCAAAAACACCCACTCACCTCACTGCTCGTGTCAGGAGTTACATCAACCGAGGAAGAAGATGGGGTCGGACTCTTCCCACCATTATTAGATGGCGCTGACTGAGCTTCCGAAGGCGTTTCTGCTTCTCCAGCATTATCAGCAACTCCACTAGCATCTGAAACCACGGCACCTAGGAAGAGAAAGTTCTATAGTGGTAAATAATACCAAAGCGACTGAAAACTATGTTAAAATGTTATACCTTACTTGCGCTAAGGAACGGTATCTTGTAACCAAGTTACGTGAAAAACGACCACTTACTCACTTACTTATGCCTCCAAACCCTAATGGAGCATCGGCCGGCCAGCATTCCCCAACCTACTCTATCCAGTGCCTTCCTTTCCAGTTCTGCCCATTCGTCGTTCATTGTTCTCATGTCTGTCTCCATTTCTCGGCGTAATGTTTTCCTCGGCATTCTTTCCCTATGACCTTGAGGGTTCCAAGTGAGAACTTATCTTGTGACGCAGCTGGATGCATACCTCAATGTGTTCTATCCACTTCCAGAGCTTTTCCCTAGCTTCTTCATCAGCTGGAATTCGGCACATTGTTGCCCAAGCTGCCTGGTCAGCGCATAGACAACTATTAATAAACACTCGCATCTTCTGGATGATGTCTTTTGTAGTTTTCCAAGTTTCTGTCACATACAGAACTGTCTTGACATTTGTATTGGAAATTCTGACTTTGGTGTTGATTCATAGATGTTTTGAGTTCCAAATGTTCTTCGATTGTAGAAATGCTGCCCTTGCTTTGCGCAGACGCGTCTTTATATAGGCGTTCGATCCAACTTGCTCATCAATGATGCAGCTTTTTCTATTATGTATGCTGAAACCTACTGCTGCGCAGGCATTTGCTACACTGGCCGCTTACTCCTGCACAGCTAGATCATCTGCGAATTCCAAACCCGTGACTCCACCCAGAAAAACGACCACACATGGAGAGAATCAGCACAAAAAACAGGCTCAGATTATAATCACAGGCGTACAAACATTGTTGGATAAAATCCTTGCACAAGAATTTCAATGTCAAAGTCTTCATGTAATCGAAACAAATAGCTCCAAGCAGATGTATTCGATATTGAATTTTATCACCTGAAATTGCTAGAATAACATAAATTTACTCAGTGATAGATCCCTACTAGTATTCAATGAATGAAAAAAAAACAAGAAACTTCATTGAAATGCTTTCTGCCAATCCCATCCAGAAAGCTTACTATTATTAGCAGGTTTACGTTAATCGCGCAAAAAATATAAAAAAAAATCAAATACACACTTATGTATCAAAATCATAGAACAGTTAGTTAGTTACCGGTCATGTTGTAGTCAAATGTAAGTTCTTCACCTTTCCTTATGAATCTAGACGCATAGAGAGCAATACGTGGCAATTTTGTATTGAGACATTCAATAAAAACACAACGAACTGTGAGGTTTGGATCACACTGAAAAGGGAGAGAGAAAATCATATGACAGAAGAAATTTGTATAAAATATAATAAACAGAATACCAATAAGCTATCCAACAAGCCCCATATTATACGACTACACCGTATTATATATTTTATGTAATGCACTCAATGGGTAGCAAACGCCAACCACCTCTTCATCTCAAACCAGATAGTGGGCCAGTATCACTAAGCTTAACGCAAATGATCCTCGTAGTAAATCATATGAGAACATATCCGTAAAAATATTGTTTGCCATTCAAAGAGCTTAAACATATTTCCATATTTTGACAGAATAGCACAAGACATCCAACATTGATTAAAGATTAAAAGTGTCTGAACAAATGATTGCAACCAATACATATATTTTCCAACAATCTCAGCCAGCTATCAAAGGCAAGTGGGTTGGAGATCCTTAAGAACAAAAGCGAAAAACTCAAGGTTCGAGGAGGAGGAGGAGGAGGTCGCATTGTTAACTGCATAAAAATGTAGCAGAAGCAAAAAGCCCCTTTCAGACAACTAAACTGTGTAGTAGTACAACCCTTCCATAACAGGAATGAGATAAGGTCCGGTTCTGAAAATAGAGCACCTCCATTTATCTCAGTGATTTACATAGCTAGTGGTAAGGCCTTACAAGGACTGGACAAACATAATTAGTGCCACTAACAAGAATGCCGTGAGTGACAGACGTCAAACAGCTTTCGCTTTAGCCTCATAGTCATTTTATCAGATTCCCCAGAACCCACCAAACCCAGTTTCTTCATCAGGCTCATCTGGAAGAAATATCCAACCACATTGGAGACAACCGCTTTGCAGTTACTTACCTATTAACGACTGTAACTCCTCATGGAGTATTGGGTTTCGACTAAAATTTTCCAACTTATTGCATCCTTCGCTCTCTTCCAGTTGTTACAAAATGCTAAAGATTCTGTTCATGTCTGCCTCCAGTTACCATCACAAAGTATTTTTTGGTCTACATCTTGGTGTTCGGCTTTCGAAATTCGAAGTTGAGGCAAACCTGGTGACACGATGTGTGTCAGCTGAGTGAATGCCGTTGTAACCTTCAGATACTCATCAACTGTATAAATGAGTCAGTCAGTCAGTTACAACGTAGAACTTTGTACGTACGTACATCAGTTCAGGTTGCCAATGCAATTATCAATTCAGATCCAATAGTGGTAGAGATAATAATAATAAAAGGGTTGGAAGATATAATTCGAGAAGTATAATTCAGTGTCATAACTTAAGAAAAAGAAAGATAGAGGTGATAAGGAATTCAGGAGGTTGGGACTCGAGAGAACACATTGAATGAATGCAATTGCTCCATTGCAAACGATTATCAGCCATGTGGTTCACGGTCTCTAACCATCGATTACTATCATCTCGAGGATCCTAACCAGGTAGCTTACATCTACTAACATGACTCAGTCCACTTGTCATTGACTTCATGGATTTGTGCTATGTTCTAGTTTGGCCACCCCTACCTTTCTTCTAACCTACTCCTACATCACAAAACTTCGCTCGTTGAGGCAATCGGTGGTTGGGCATTCATAACACATGTCCTAACCATCTCAACCGATGACGCTTCATCACTTCACCTATTGATCTCCTATCCCTACCAAGTACTCGATTCCTAACTATAGCATTGTTTACTCGGTTGTTCCAGGATTGCGAGCAATGCTTCGAAGACATCTATAATCGAAAAGCATTAACCTACGAATATCTTCTACTCTTATTAGCCGTGTTTCGCATCCGTATAGTAGAACGGAGCGAACTGCACTCGATCTTTGGTTAGCAAACGGATATCACGCCTGCGCCATAAGTGACGCAAGTTGGTAAAATTCAATCGAGTTTCTTGTATTCATGTTGAGATTTCGTCAATCACCAGTCCATCAGCACTGACGAGACTCCCAAGATAAGTGAAGCGGACAAAATGCTCAACTACTTCACTCCCTATCACTGGTTCAGGTGCCGATGCAACCAAATCTTGATGCACCATTTTGCATTTCGAGGGTGAGAACCGCATCCCGAACATGCTTGTATTGTTACTCAGGGTTGTTAGAATACTCTGCATTTTGTCAGCGTCTTCACCTAATAGAACTATGTCATCGACATATTCTAAGTCACGCAGTAAATCGCCTGTTAGAAGATACACCTCTGAAAATTCAGACGAAGATAAAGTTTACTCTTAAAGTATGTCCACGACAAAGTTAAACAGGAATGGAGAGAGCGGACATCCCTGACAGACACCACTTGAAGTAATCAGTTTTGATGACAGTTCACCATAAGCTCCAACCCGACAAGCAGGGTTTGTATAGAGAGCCTGTATAAGGTTAATGTACTTCTTTGGTACAAATGATGCCCCTAATTTTCCAATTCATTCCCTCACATCTGCATCAGATCCACCTCGTTTGTCAAATACGCCACCCAGGTATGCATAAGTCTTCAGATCTTCCGGGGCCTCGTCGACACGTGCACTTTGGTCGATTCTCATTGTGTTCTATCGTTGAATCTTACTTTTTGTCTTGTGTACGCAAAGGCCTACCTTCACAAACGTAGCTGCTACGCTGGTAGTCTTATCCTGCGTTTGTTGTTGCACGTAGGATAAAACAGCTAGATCACCTGAGAAATTCAAATCATCCAGCTGCACCTGAGCTGTCAAATGTTTTCCATGTCAGCCCTGAGATGTTGACCCACCACAATCCAATCAAGAAAAAGGAGTGAGACTGAGCAACCTTGTCCGACAACGGTCTTTACCTGGAATGAATCTGTGAGCTTCCCTCTATGCAAGATCTTGCAGTCTAAACCATTATAAGAAGTTCGTGTGATGTTGACTATTTTCTGAGGTACATAGTAGTGTCGAAGATGTCTCAATAGTATCATCTTATCAACGCTGCAAAATGCCTTCTCGTAGTGAAATAGGTTGATGTACAGTGATGAGTACCATTCAAATAACCGTTCCATAATGATTCGTAGTGTCGCAGTTCGGTCGATACATAATCGATCCTCACGGAATCCAGCTTGTTGACTTTCAAGTTGGGATTCTACTGAATCTTTCATTCAGTCTAACAACACTCTGTTAAAAACGTTTCCTGGTGTTGAGAGTAGAGTGATACCTCCGTAGTCCTCACACTTGCTAAGATCTTGCTTCTGTATGTTGATGAGGTATTCCAATTTTCAATCCGTTTGTACTTGTTCTTTCTCCCAAATCCCTGTGAACAGAGTGTGGAGAATTGTATTAGTAACTTCTATGTCTCATTTTAGTTCCTCAGATGATATGTTGTCCAGTCCTGTTGTCTTGCAACTCTCTCTTCTGTCTGATGGCCTTGCTGATTTCTTCCATTGTTAGTCGGGTAACATTTATAGGACGGTCAGTGAGCTGCTTCGATGAACGTTGGGTTCAATGGAACTGGCTGTTATTCAAAGTGCTCTATCTAATTATTCCACTGTTCCCGAAACTCGGTGACTAATTTACCTTCCTTGTTCTTCACTAGCCATTCTGATTTGATATATATTTGCTATACATTTCATGAACTAATGCCCATTTCGAAGAATCTCAGATTTCACCATGAGGAGTTATAACTTCTAAATAGCAATCCTACAAGTTTGAATTTAGTTTTAAATTGCTTAAATGATCTTTGAGGTTAACA